AAGTGTATATATACATGTGACTAGATGGATCAAACTAGTGGAAAGAAAATAACTAACTAACTAACTAGTTTGTTATGTAACTAACTATTACAATACTAACTATAAAATGGAAATACAACCAACTAACTTGAAATAAGTAATGTACATGAGTTAATTATGAGTGTTAATACATCACATGAGGCCTGAGAATTATGGTCAATGATAAAGCATCGATATTCCCTAATTTATTATTCTCTTTTAAGTCGAACTTTATGCATTATTCCTGACACTAGACACACATTTTTTATTTTATTTTATGTAATATAGATAAAATTTAAACAGTTAATTAAATTATAATATAATTTTAAATATTTTAAGTTAATACTTATCGTAATTTGTAATATTTTATATAATTTTAAATAATATATATTATTTTCCTTGTCTCAATATATATGACACAAATAGAATTTTAAGAGTTAATATATTGTTAACTATCGCGTGGAACCACACATGTGAAGCAGACATATTGGTTATCTCTTGTGTTGTTAAGATGGAACAACTAAAATATGAATAAGAAATATATTTACGTATACGAAATGTCAAAATCCTCAAATCAATAAATAAACTTAAATTAATCAAAGACCTCTATTAATTAAAACACAAATTTTTAAGGTGAAAATCTCGTAAATCAATTAATAAATGTAGATGTCTTTAATTATCAAAATAATACTCCCTTCTTTCACTATTAATTGTCATACTTTCCATTTTTAAAGTCAAATCATAAAAATTTTGACTAACATTTTACAATATATTTTTTCATCATATTGATATGCAAAAAATTGCAATATAGTTTTGAGTATCTACATGTTTTGGTTAAATATCAAATTTATGTAATCAAATTTAACTTTGAAAACTAGTCAAATTGACTTTCGAAAAGCGTAACATAACAAATAAAAGTAAACGAAAAAAAGTTAAAATTAAAACAAAAATAAAAAATGATGTTGGCAAGGTTTGAACTCGAACTTTGGGGTTGAAATATGAAGCCTAATCCAGTAGGGCAAATAGCTGGGTATATAAATAAGCCCACAGCTAAAGCATACATGTTGACCTTCAGTTGTGTGTTTATTGTCACTTATATATATAAATGTATATTCCTGACATATGAACAACATTACACCAAAAAATAAAATTTTAAAAATAACATATTGATTTGTGAAGAATATATGTGTACTTAGATAGCGGAGTCCGTGTTAGCACGAGTCAAATATATATTATTTTTTATTTCAGTTTATATGATACGTATATATTAAAGAGTTAATTAAATTTTAATATTAATTTTAAATAATTTAAATTGTTAATTATTATTAACTGTGGTTATTCTTAATGTCTTTTAAAATATTAAATTGTTAATTATTATAGTATGATTTGTCATACTTTTCGCATAATTTTTAAGTTATAAGGGTTATTTCTTTTTTCTCGGTTTATGTGATCTTAATAAAATTGTGAGATTTAAATAAAGTAAAATTTATCTGAAATATTTATAGATGTTAATTACTGTAATTAGCGGCGGATCTAAGATTTGAAGGTCGGGGGTGCCTTAAGGTTCAAGTAAGATAAAAGGTCTCCGGTTGCTTTAATTTTTTGTTACAATTCAAGTTATTAATTTTTTTATTTTTATAAACAAATCGATCAAATGTGCATATACTAATATTTTATTTTATATATTATGTAATCGGAGATAACTAAACAATTCAATTTTTATTTTCTTTTTGGAATTAGATGTCTTATTCGTTGAAACTCTGAGAAAAAAAAATTACATTAAAATTTGAGCTTGTAGAAACCATCTAATAATATTAACATAATATATTCATCTTCCATCGACTTTATGTGTTGTTAGAGATATATAGTTGGAACAATAAAAATTTTAGTTTCAGCCTATTCTTCTTATTTAGCAAAAACGTCGGTAGAGATTGAAAGAATGTTTAAATTAAAAAAAGAACATTTTGAAACTTATGTTTTCTAAAAACTACTATTTAAAGTAATATTCATTTGACCCTCATAATTGAGTACTCACGAATTGATAAAAAAAAATTTACTATATTACTCATATCAATAAATTAATAATTAGTGTAAAAGAAAATAATAAAAATTAAAAATTAATTATGAAAAGAGATCAATTTGAATTAATAAAGAATAATAAATAACAAAGAACGAATGGAGAAAAAGAAAAGAAAAAGAAAAAAAAAGCAAGCAAAAAATATAGATATTTGTTGTTGTGGTTCGAACCTGCATTGACAAGTGGCAAACTCTCTCCTTTGCCAATTGGGCTCTTCTCCAGTACAATCGGTGGGTGGCAATATTTATACATATCTATACAATATTTTTTTTAGATCGTTCGACGCCGCGACACCCCAACCCAGCAACGTAGATTCGCCCCCTGACTGTAATTTGTGATGCTTTCTGAAATATTTGTAGTTGTTAATTACTATAATTTATCATACTTATTAAGTAATTTTAAAATAATATATAGATTCTATTTGTCTCAAATTATATTTCATCGATAAAATTTAAATAATCAATCAAATAGTTTATATATTTTTATATATTTAAATAATTAATTATTATAATTTATAATATTTTATACAATTTATTTAATATAGTAAAGAAAACAAACAAAACGAATTCATCATAAGAAAATTACCGAAACATCCTTCAATACATCAATAATGAATTCCACTTTCTTTTTAAAAAAAATGGAAAGGGGCCTAAAATACCCTCAAAGTATTGAAAATAGTACAAAATTATCCTCCATCTACCTATTGGCTTCAAAATACCCTTCCCACTCATCTATTGGGTTCAAAATACCCTTGTCATCCACCTTTAGGTTCAAAATTGACCACTTATTTAACGATTTTATATTTAAACTATTTAAATATCTTTTAAAATACGTGGTGCTCAACTATTAATTATAATTTAACTTATTAGTATAATTTATAAATCAATCTATTACCCACCCATTACTAATTAAATTTCTCTTAATAAATCCGTCATATTATTAATGCAAGCTACTGCCAATTGAGTGTTTTTAAAAATTATAGAACTAAATTATCATACATTCAAGTGGCTAAATAAAAATCACTGATAAAATTAAAAGTCTGACTATGTTCATCTTAATTATTCCTACGTCTCAATTATGTGATGTTACTTAATAAGTAACTTTTTTTTTCAAAATAATATATTAAAGGTTTTAAAACAAATCATAAATATTTATAAAATTATATTTTAAAAAAGTGCATGATTTAATTCGGGATATATTACTTGTTTACCTTTAATCATAAATTTCTAATTCAATTTTGAAAGAAAGTGTCTTCCTAAATAAGAGGCTCAACCTAAATTTAATTGGTGTTTCGATTCAGACTCGAATAATTTTGAATGTCTTTTTCAGGACTCTATAATTTCATCGTGTTCTAGTAGTGTTTATGACGATTTTGATATTTTAATTGAATTATTAATTGAGTGAGGTTTAGTTAGTAATGAGTGGGTAGTGGGTTGGTTTATAAATTATATTAATAAATTAAAATTATAATCAATAGTTGAATGCCAAGTATTTTAAAAAATATTTAAAGAGTTTAATTTTAAAACAATTAAAAACATGGTCAATTTTGAACCCAAAGGTGGATGACAAGGATATTTTGGAGCCAATAGGTGGATGAAAAGGGCATTTTGGAGCCAATAGGTGGATAAAGGGTAATTTTATACCATTTTCAATATTTCAAGAGTATTTTAGGCCCTTTTCCGTTTTAAAAAAGTGCATGTTTGGAGGATATTTTTGTCCAAAATGAAAATAGAAATATGTAGGCACAGTGACATCGAATCATAAAATATCCAAAAATACCAAAATTATCCCTAAGTTGGATAACCAGGCATGTTGTCCACCTGTCTCCTTGTATCACCTATAATATTCCCGGTTATAGTATGGTAAAAAGAAATAAAAAATAAATAAAGTAATATAATATATCCTCAACGTATGAGTGACATTAACACCTTATTCATTATAATTAACTAGTGAAACTATTCGTGCTTCGCGCAATTATATAAAATATTTATAAGATAATAATATGAAATATGTAATATTTAGGTTAGTATCAAATGTATGAATAATATTAATATCTCTACTCGTCTGCGATATCATAGACTTTTTTAAAACATATAAAATATATAAATAAATGGAATAAGAGATAATATGTTGAAATAAAAATATATTGTATTAGATTGAAAGTATTTTATATGTTTTAATTTTCTATATCTTTTGTAAGAGTACTAATGTTCTATCTTTTGTAGCAGTACTGATATTCTGTTCAAATTCTGTTTTTGTCAAAACAAAATTGATTTTTTTAAATTTTATTATTACATTTGCTTATTATAATTTTTTAAACATTAATTAAATATTTATAAGATTTACGAAAAAATAAAACATATAAAAGTTATGAATAATATTTAATATCAATGTTACAAGCAAGATGAAGAGACATAAGTTATAAATAATTCAAATGTATAATTTTATTAGACAATAAATGTATTACTAACCTATATATTGATTTTGTTTGTAAAATAAATAAATAAAAATAAGAGGTGAAAATACAAAAAAATGAACAGAGAAAATATAATAATTGGTGATTACATAAAAATTATAAATGCATTTCGAAGCAAAAAGAACGACAAAAAATGACATCATGAAAATAATATTTTATTTTAATTACTTTTTCTCATTAAAATAAAAATGAAACTAATCATCATAAATTTTTTTGTTGTTGTTAAAATGAAATAATTATTTTAATTTTTTTCATAACAAAAAGAAAGTAGAATACTAAAGGATCAAATGATTAACATTGACAATATAATACATTTAGTTAAATTATTTATATAAATCAAAATTTAAAAAACTCTAACAAAAGTAACTAAGTTGTTAATACAATTCAAAGTGAAAAAATAATCTCTAATTAATGCTTTATTTTTTTTCCTTCTACCATCTTCCTTTGCAAAGAGATCCGCCATCATGTTTTGATCCATATGTCAAGCTCTTATTATATGCAACCAACTAAATCATATACCAATCAAAAATAATTATGTCAAAAGAAAGAACGAAATAAAACTATATCTAATGTATTTGTATATTATCTTTTCAATAGTACTAACAATATTAAATAATAATTATTTCTAGAAATCTAACAAATATTATATCAAACTATATTATATCTCGAAAACTAACTATTAGAAAGAGCAATTGCATACAGACAACACATTGTTAAGAATTACAGAGATTTTTTTAATTATATTTACTTGATAAGTTATAATACAAACATAAAAATATATATTAAGAGAACATGTCTTAGTACATAAAATAAAAAGAAAGACTTTAGAATGAAATATATCCTACCTTCATATACTTTTTTTTGTTACATGTTAGTTAATTTACAAAAAAGTATGATGAAGAAGAGAAATTATAACTTTATATGTGGATCTTCATTAAAATAAATATGAATTTATGTAGACAAAATAAAGGAAATAAAAAAATAAGGACTTGAGAATGATATATTTGTAAACATCATGTATTTTTTTTGTTACATGTTAGTTTCATTTACAAACCAAATACTAATTTACATAGACAAAAATAGAGAAAATAAAAAATAAAAATTTGCAATGAAATATTTCTTACCTTCATATACTTCTTTTTTTGTTACAAACCAAACCTATATGATGAAAAGAGAAAGGATACTTGTGAATGTGAATCTTCATAAACTAATATGAATTTATAGGCAAACTAAAGGAATACCATAAGACATCATAAACTTATGAGAGTTATGAATATTATTAAAAGTAAAAATTAAAGAGGGGCAAGTCATGATTAGTAACTCCTAGTGAATAAATTAAAAAATAAAAATAAAAATACTTAAAATGTAAAAAAATAACATTATGATTTCATGATTAGAAGAGAGATAAACAAATAGAGAAAAATATAGAGAATTATAAATGTTTCTACATTAATAAAATATTTATTTGTATAAATAAAGTCATATATTTTTATGATAAAATAATTAATTTAAATTTAAAAAGTCAAAAATAAATAAATTATATTTCTCCTTTTATTATAAGTGAGATAAATAAATAAAAAAGATGAAGAGGTTTTGTTATAAATGATTCTCCATTAATAAAATATTGATTGTAATAAATTTTAGTAATCCTTTTTATGATATAATAATTAATTTATTTTAAAAAAAGCCAAAAAAAAGAGAAAATAAATAAATGCAAATGGAGGCCATAGAGAGGTGCCACATCACCTTGTCTATGGTCCTCATTTATATATATATTGATTTTTATATATAGATAATAAGTCATGACATTAATGTAAATGTGTTACTATTTCTATTTTAATACACGAGTATTATTCTTAAAATAATATTTTTAGCCAGAAAATTTGATTAAAATGTGGTCAAAACAGTAAAATAACATATTTTACACTATGTCACTTTTAATTTTTCGATAATTTTTACCTTTAACTTTAATACTTTTTGAATACAAAATGAAAAAAATCAAAGGATAATATAGACTTTTTAAATTTTTAGCCAAATTTCTGACCATTTAACATTACTTTTATTCTCATTCTAATACACTTTATTCAATATCACAATAAATTTAACGATCAAATATAATTTTACAAAAATAATATCATTATTATTAATACTGTCTATTTAATACTATAATTACAAGCTTAACCAAACGACCGAAAGAATTGAATTATAATTTTGCATGTGATATTTGACAATTAAAGGACAATAACTATCATCATATTCAGTAGCATAACAAATTGGGTAAAACTAAATGATGTGCTAATTGTACACCGTGCGTGTACCATTCAATCAACGCAGCTAATTAATTGATTAAACTGACCATTAATTTGTGTTAGGCATAACATAATACTCCCTCGGTTCCATATTAGCTCGATTACTCTTTTTTATTGTTCAAAATAATTAAATTATTTAAAATTTAAGATGAATGTTTGAATTTTTTTCATATTTAATCAGTCATTTAATGAAATTTAATATTTTTTACGATATAAATTGCACTAAATTGTAATTTTACTAGGAAAAATCTGATTTAAATTATGTCCCTGACTATTTTCTTAATATATATACATGAGCTCACAAATTCAATTAATATGAAATAAAAAGAATATATTTTTCTATTGGAAGTCAACAACATGAATGGTATTTTGCGTTGAAAACTTTGATGATTTTTTTATTACATTTTTGGTTATAAGCTGATAATAACGTCTCTACAAGCAATTTTGATGGGCAAAATTGAAATACCTACAAAGGAAAATGTTGTCCACACATAAGTCATAAGAAATTTTTTGGATAACCAACGACTAAAAAGATGACTTTATTATGTAAAATGTTTTCTATCAAACCAAACACATAATTGACATTTTAAAAGTCATTTAACAATTAGGTTATAATAAGTTAATTTAGTATAGATAGCAAATATAAGTCAAGGAGGTACATATAAATTGGCTCGAATGTCTTTATTATAACAAATAAATAAACAAATAAAGTTGCATAACTTCTTCAGCGAAAAATATAACTTGTTTGAAGTTATGTCATTAAAATAGTCATGAAATTATGATTTTCATTTATAGATTAAAAATATAAAATGTAAATATCTAAAAAAGTTAAAGGGTATATTCACATAAATAATAATTTTAACTTTGTATAGACATATAATTTTGAACTACTTGTCAACCTATTTTTGCACATTACTTGAACGGGGACAAAAATTTTCATAATCCAAAAAAATACAAAAATTCTCTATCAGATGCTATCGGATATATCCCATTCCCTCTAAAAAACACTCTTACCCCTTCTCAGATATATTTCTTCCATTGAGTAATGTATCAGAAAATCAATCAATAGTGCGGAGAGTTATGAGAAATTTAAAACTTTTACAATTGGGAAAGCTTTTGGGATATGATATAATTAGCTACCGAATGTATGAGATTCCGAAAGTACCAAATTGCTAAAATCACATGGACCTGCTTTAGATAGTCCAATGGGCTCAGCCCATAAGTATCCACATCATATTTAACAGGCCCTTTCTTCTTAAAAAGGTCAGGCCCAAATGATTTCGGATTCAGGCCCACTACTATAAGAACTGTACTCCGAGATACCCACCAACTACTCGATCAGCATTTTGAGCAAAAGACAACTTTAACTTTACGCAAAAAGATTTGATTTTTAACGACACCCATCTCCTATTTTTGTGAAATTCAAGAATATTAAGGTGTTTCAATGGAGAGGTTGATGAGTTTTCAGGCGAATTCTGTTCATGCTGTATCAAGACGGCAAAGCTCGGTACTAGTTCCTACATTTTCTCGAAAAATTAGTAATACAAGAGTTTCTGTTCAACCAATTGGAATGGTGAGGAATTCCAAATTGTTTAATTCCGTTGTTGCTTCAGTTCAGCCAATTGGAGCCTCTGCTGTAACCCCTTTTGACAACACATTGCCATCGAAAGGTAAACATCAGGATCTGAGATTGTTCTTCGTAGGGCTGATAAACTAAAATTTGAATCTTGTTTTCTAAACTAGATGGGGCTAATCTGTTTTGTTTTGTTATAGATTGGTTGTTTTGTGAATATTTACTGTCATGCTTGTAAAATGAAATGAACCCGAGTGAGCTGAACCTATGTAGAGGATTCATGTAGCTGACCCCAGACTAATTTGGGATTTTGATGATGCTGATTGATTGGTACCTGTAAAACGGAACACGGGATAGGTTAAAATATAGATGGAATTGGTTGTAGTATTGTGGCTGACTGATGGTGTTTTGAATCTTGTTAGAGGTTCTTGATGTTTGGCATAATGCGAATGCTGTATGCTTTGATGTGGATAGCACTGTGTGCATAGACGAGGGCATTGATGAATTTGCGGAGTTTTGTGGTGCTGGAAAGGCTGTAGCGGAATGGACTGCTAGGTTAGCTGCTTTTTTGAATAATGGTTCTAATATAATGTTAAATGCCTTGGGATTGAATTCATATCCTATTTATCTTGTCTTTTTCAGGGCCATGAATGGTTCTGTTCCATTTGAAGAAGCATTGGCAGTTCGTCTTTCTCTGATTAACCCTTCATTATCCCAACTCCAGGATTTTCTTAAGAGACCTCCACGGTAACAATGTGCCTTTGATCACCTATGCATATAAGGTTTTCCATTTATGTGAATTATTGTTACAAGTTTACTTAGATGAAAGACAAAGAAGTATTGTGTCACTCGAATTTAAACCCCTTATGGAAAATTGAGGTTAGTTGTAAAGATGAATCTGCTATTGGCCTTTCATTTAGGGATCGTGATCATAACTGCCAACCTAGTTGATTTAAAGCTTTTGATTAGTCATGCTATATGGTCTCTGGTATCAGTTTCTTCTTCCATTTGAATTCTTAAAAGGCTTTCTGTGTTGATGGTCAGATGTTATAGCTCTCTGGTTTAACGAATCACGATTCAGGTCGAGACCAATTGAAGGCATGTCCTAATTGGCACCAAAAATAGTGGTTAATAATTTCTATGAAGCAACCAACACATTTGGAAGCAGTTTGATACAATTTAAAATGCTAGGTGTTTCTTTCATAACCTTTGGAAGCTGTAGCCTCTTCGTAGGATCTTTAAGGGATTAGCAGATTCTATGAGAGGCCTAGTCAACAGATGAGGAAGTTCATCAGCTCAAAAGACCTAATTCTATGTCAAATTCGAAAGCAAATAACTGTTACAGTTAATTGGTTCCGAACTTCATTACTTTTATTATTTGAACCATCTGTTAATTTGTGAAATAACAAAGACATACAGTTTCGCGAATCAACTTTCAAGATGTTCACTTAGCAAACTTGTGCCTCTCTACTTGCTATAATCTCATAATATAGAAAATGCTAATGGAAATTCCAGAAAATTTATAAATTTTAAAGTGAAAAGACAATTTCTTTTAGATAACAAAGGGATTCAAAGGTATCTGGACTAAATCCGTCAATGTCCTTACAATTTCTAAACAAATCAACTTTCATCCGGTATTCCTTTGAATCTATCTGGTTGCTTACTTTAGTCAGCTTAAGTTGCTGAAATCTTTTCTGGTTTTTCTTGGTGCAGACTTTCTCCTGGCATTGATCTATTGGTCAAGAAGCTGAAGGATAATAATAAAGATGTTTATCTGGTCTCTGGAGGGTTTCGTCAAATGATCAATGTACTTCCCTTGTTGAATTGTTTAGTTTACGGTTAGTTTTATTTGTCTATCTTGCATTCTTGCATCCATATAGACATATCAAGGATATAAGGTTGTGACTTCTACACCTCTTGTAACCATTAAGAAATTTCGAACTGTTCTGTGTGAGGTTCGAGCTTCTTTCTTAGATTCTCCTATTCTTGAATCCTGAGTACTATTGGCAATTTCTGAACTTCAATTTGCCAAAATGCTTTCCGGAAGGGTGGCAGTTAATCTTTTTGGTCATGTTCTAGTGTACATGCTGCCATATGTAAGAATAGCTTCCTTTCGAGAAAAATGGCTACCTTAATTTGTCATCATCCTATCTCCCTATCGTTTGTGTCACCTTTTAACTGTGCTTATCTGCAATTTGATGTATTGCTTATATATTTGCTAACTATAATTCTTTCTCAAAGCCTGTTGCATCAATCCTCGGAATACCACTTGAAAATATCTTTGCCAATCAAATACTCTTTGGGAGCAACGGAGAATATGTTGGGTTTGATAAAAATGAGCCAACTTCAAGGCGTGGCGGAAAGGCTACTGCAGTTCAACAAATAAGAAAGGTTGGTGTTAGAACTGTTGGTGATGTACTTGTTTATTTTAACACACTTTTTGAAGATGCTCATAAAACTAAACAATGTTTCAGGCTCATGGATACAAGTCACTAGTGATGATTGGTGATGGTGCTACTGATCTTGAGGTGAGTAACTAATATCACCAACTCTTATTGCCCAATTGAAATGAAAAAAGAACGATCACTGTGTCTTCGTTTGAAATTTGCAAACACAAAAAGTCTGCAACTCAGTTTTCAGTTTCTTCTTTGTTGTTGCAAACTCTGTTTAACATTTTTGATCTCCATTTTCTGTTGCAGGCTCGTATGCCAGGTGGTGCGGACTTGTTTATTTGCTATGGCGGAATTCAACTACGGGAATCAGTTGCAGCTAAAGCTGATTGGTTGGTGTTTAATTTTAAGGACTTGATTAATTCATTGGTGTAATGTGCTATTGCATCTATACTCTTCCATATCTATTTTGTTTGTGAAGGCTTATGCAGCATTAAATTTCTGTGTTGATGTCATTTCGTTTAGGTAGAGCAGAAAATGCCTTATATCAGACACTGAAAGGTCATATCGATTGGCAGTTTAGCGCTTATTTTGAACAGATTGCAGAATGGCACCAGAAATACTATTATTAGTAGTAATACATTCTTTCACACATAAGAGTTCTCAAGGAAAATACATCAAACAGATAACAACCAACTAGTAAAACGACTCAGCGCACAAGACACAGACAGAAAATAAGTAAACTCAAAATCTTCGACAGTACACACTTGACTTAATACTACAGGTTTGTTCCCAACCAGAGCATTTAACCAGAGATCTCAATGGACTTGACCTCAGGCTTCTTCACCTCTTCCTTTGGAACAGTAACAGTAAGCACTCCATTCTCCATAGACGCCTTAACTTGATCCATCTTTGCATTCTCCGGAAGTCTAAATCTCCTCATGAATTTCCCGCTGCTTCGCTCCATGCGATGCCACTTATCATTCTTATCTTCCTTCTCCACGTTCCTCTCTCCGCTGATCTGAAGAACCCTATCCTCCTCGACTTCCACTTTGACTTCCTCCTTCTTAAGCCCTGGAAGATCAACCTTGAACACATGAGCTTCTGGAGTTTCCTTCCAGTCTATTCGTGTGTTGGCAAATGCAGAGCTCTCCCCTGAATTGGTACTTGGGAAGCCTAATTCCCTGAATGGATCAAATACGTCAATTGAAAATGGATCGAACATGCTGCTGCTTCGTCGATCGCCGAAAATTCTTGGGATCAGAGACATTTTCAGTGAACTTTTTGAGAATTTTCTACGTTTTTTTGCTTGCTTGCTTTCGATTTTGATGGTTGATTGAAGAGGAGGTGGTAGTTATTTATAGCTTCATTAGAGGAGTGTTTAGCAGTTTCTCCATACTTCTACTATCCACAGAGACATTTCTAGATATTCCAAAAGCAGATGTGGAGAAGTTTCTGGATAGGCCCATCACACAATTGAAATATCGAAATTGGGCTTGTTTTAGAGCCCGTGTGGATGGGCTTAATAAAATCAGCTTTAAAAAAAGGGAAAAATTAGTAAACTAGTCAAAATAAATAACATATTTAGTAAAAATATCTATACTTTATAAATATTAGCAATAATGTCAAAAATGTCATTATTTTAAAAAATTTATGTGTCCCAATTTTCTTCCTATTTTATCTCTCTTTTTTAATTAATTCTATATATCCTTTTTTTTAAAAAAAAATCATTTTCTCTCGTATTTATCTTTTCAAATTGTTAATTCTCTCTCCCATTTAATTTTTTCTCTCTCTCATGATTATCTTTTCTGATTTTCCTCCAACATTCAAGTTGCAAATATTTTTTTGCCATATATTTTGGTTGTTTTTTTAATCCAAAATTGAATCAACAAGAATCCCTTTGATTAAGGTATCTCTAATCTCTATCCTATTTTCAGATTTTTTTCTTATTTTATTTTTGTTTAAATCTTAAAAAATGTTGTTTGTATTTTTCAATTTCCGTTATGATTTACTCTCCAATGGCTGAATCCAAGAGGCTTACTAGAGGTATTCATCTTAATCAATCAATTTCTGGTGATTTTTCATCCTTTAATTTATTTATTACTTAACAAATAGTGTATAATGTATGATCCGCTGCTGTAGAATCTTTGTCTACTTGTGAGGATCTTGAAAAAGACGACGAAGATCGGATAGTTTTCGAACAATTTTCTATTAGTTTGTTTTGTATTTATAGTTATTTTTTAGAATTTGGTATGCTTTCTTAATTTGTATTCAAATCACTATGTATACTATCAATATTTGTATTTACTAAAAATTTCATGTTGCATGGTTTATGAATCTTGTATTTGTCCCTAATTTGTATTTATCCAAATGTATGTTAACTAGTTATGTATTTTATTTATAAGAAGAAGAACTTTCTATTAGTTTATTTGTATTCGAATATAAATACAAATAATATACATATTGGAATGAATACGACTTAGAAAAGGAAACAAGATTTTGAAAAGAAAAATAAATACACAGTGAAAAATATATACGAATACAAATATATTTTTTAAATAGCTACATTTTATTTGACATATATATTGGAATGAATACAAACTAATAAAGGTATGTCAACTGAATTTGACATTTTTTTCTAATTTGTATTTATTCTAAAGGTATGTTAACTAGTTATGTATTTTATTTAAGAATGAGTACACCAAATATTCAATTATTTCTTTTCAATTTTATATTTCATTCACTTTTTCATCATACTAATTTTTTGTATTTTATATATTATTATACAAAATTCTAAATAAAAACTAGAATAAATAGAAATACAAATAAAATACATATTGAAATGAATACATACAGGATTTTTGAAGAAAAAAATAACTATATAGGGAAAAAATATATGAAAATACAAATATATTTCTTAAATGACTATATAGATAAATTCGGCATACCTATTGGAATGAATACAAACTAATAAAAAACTATAATAAATATAAATAGAATATATTGTGGAATGAATATAATTTTAAAAAGATAAAAATTCTGGAGAAAAAAAAAACAAAGTTTGAATTTTATTTGAAAATGTAACTAATGAGAAAATTAAGGATGCTTGCCTTTTTTTTGAAATATTCCCCCCTTAATTTTCTCCTTTTTGTTATTAAATAATTATATTCTTTAAATAAAAATAAATAATAAAAACATAAATAAGATACATAACAAACTAAAATGGCATTTTTACTAAATATTGAAATTGTTGCTAATGAGTCCTCTTAAATGCTAAAATATTGACATTTTAAAAAATTTCCCTTAAAAAAATACTTTTGAAAGTGCCGAAACTTATTTTTAAAATAGTTATGCGTTTGGATAAAAGTACTGAAGTTAAAAAAAAAAGTTGTTAATGTGTTTGGCAAATAAGTGCTGATAAACAGCTTTTTAAATCAAAATGTCTGAAATACCCTTAAAAGTTGTTAACATAATAAAAGTTAATTAATTTATATTTTACAGCCATAAATAATTATATTTTGCTATCATTCACATATTACTTTCTCATCACAAATTATTTATAAGAGGAATATAAACTTATTATAGATTTTAAAGATATATAATTTGAATAGATTAAAGAACGATTCAACATTTTATTTTAGTTTCATCCATAGGTAATAATAATGTCTTTCATTCACATAAATCTTTATTATCACAAATTATTTATAAGAGGAATATAAATTTTTATTTAAGTTATATGTGCAACTTATTTAACATTTTAATAATATATAATTTGAATAGATCACTTGAAAGATTTAAGATTTATTTTTTCATTCATTAGTAATAGTAATTGTCTATCATCCACACATGAAAAGGGAAAAATTGAAGATAGAGATGTTAGGGTTATGTAGATAATTTGGAAATTGTATAAAAATATTAAGAGCAAAAAGGTAAAAATGTGGTCAACTTAAAACAGCTTATAAGCTCGAAAAAAAAAGCATCCCTACCCTAGCTTTTAACTTTTGGCTTAAAATAAGTTTTTTTTAACTTAAAATAAGTTATTTTGAGTATTACCAAACAGCTAAATAAGTCAAAAATCAACTTTTAAGTCAGTTTGACCAGCTTTTAAACTGAGCCAAACAGGCTCTTAGGGCCCGTTTGGATGGGCTTAATAAAAGCAGCTTTAAAGAAATACTTTTAAAAGTGCTGAAACTTATTTTTAGAATAAGCAGTTATGCGTTTGGATAAAAGTGTTGAAGTTATTATGTCAAACGTGAAAAGAGAAAAATAGAAGAAAGAAATGTTAGAGTTGTGTGGGTAATTTGGAAATTGTATAAAAATATTAAAAGCAAAAAGATAAAAATGTGGTCAACTTAAAACAGCTTATAAACTAAAAAAAAAAAAACAGCCCTATCCCAGCTTTTAAGTCAATTTGACCAGCTTTTAAACTGAGCCAAACAGGCTCTTAGTCGGCTCAATTCAACCAGCTTTGTTCTTTACAACGGCCCACAATCTGCTATTTTCTGCGGATCCTTCCTATGATAATATGAAGGAAATATAATATCGAAACACAATTTAAAGAGATTTCTGTGACCAAAAGTCACACTCATGATTTCTTGCCAACGACAATAAGACAATATATCAACTATAAAGTCCAAATAATAGCTAAACAAAAAGCCATATCCAAATTTTGAAGGGTGGAAAACACAACTATATATCAATTAATTCATCTCATGTTGTAATGAAAAAAATAAGGAGAAAATTACATAAACAATTCATAATAATCATTAAAAATAATAATTATTTTACTTCAAGTATTAACGAACTTGATTTATTTGTTTTGTTTTATTTTATATTGGATTTGTTTTGTTTTATATTGGATTTGTTTTGTTTTAAATGAATAATGTTTATTACCAGAAAAAAACATAAAAGAGGAATTTGGAACAGACTGAAAAGGGTTAGTATTTCATATCTTGAACATCAGAAACAGAGACAACTCAAAACACTTGAATACAAAGACACAGCAACTTAAAATATCCAACTGATTATTTGCTCATACATCATATACTACCACTTAACAAGCAAATGAAGTTTTAACCAGAGATTTCAATAGACTTGACATCAGGCTTCTTCACTTCTTCCTTTGGAACAGTGACAGTCAGCACTCCATTCTCCATAGAAGCCTTGACTTGATCCATCTTTGCGTTCTCTGGAAGTCTAAATCTCCTCATGAATTTTCCACTGCTGCGTTCCACACGATGCCAAGTGTCGTTCTTATCTTCTTTCTCCACGTTCCTCTCTCCGCTGATCTGAAGAACCCTATCTTCTTCGATCTCCACTTTCACTTCCTCCTTCTTAAGCCCTGGAAGATCAGCCTTGAACACATGAGCTTCTGGAGTTTCCTTCCAATCGATTCGAGTGTTAGCAAATGCAGAGGTCTCCCCTGAATTGGTACCTGGAAAGCCTAATCCCCTAAATTGATCAAATACGTCAATTGAAAATGGATCGAACATGCTACTGCTTCGTCGGTCGCCGAAGATTCTTGGGATCAGAGACATTTTTGGTTAGCTTTTTGAGAAATTTCTGTGTTTGCTTACTTTTCAATTTTTGATGGTTGATGGAAGAGGAGCTTGTAGTTATTTTATAGCTTCATTAGAGGAGTATTTGGCGCTTTCTCCACACTTCTACTATTAGACATTTCTAGAGCCTAGTAGATGTTCCAGAAGCAGATGTCGAGAACATTCTGGATTAGGCCCATTACAGATTACAACTGAGCTATGGAAATTGGGCTTCCACTGGCCCAAGGACTGTTCATTACAACGGCCCATTAACTTTGTTTGTTTTACGAAGAGGGCTAAAATATTACACAAATAGCACGATCACCACTCATATCATGGACAACGTTTTTATAAGATGGAAGTCAAAAAATTAAAGTAAATGTGTGCTATTTTTGTAACGATGAAGCACCGGCTATAATTGATATAAACTTTGGACGAAATGCAAAGATAACTCTTTTTGCAAATCACAAGGATATTTTGGACCTTATAAATAACCTAACACTCTCAATTATTTCAGAAGATTTTTAGATCGAGTTCCCTTAAATACAAAGTCATCTTTGATAGAGAATGTTTTTATTTTTTTAAAATAAGTACGTAGTCAAAGTGTTATATCTTAATGTATAAATAGCTTTCTAGGTTTCTTAGTCCACTCTTTTTTTTTTCTAAGAAGAAACACTTCATTCTTTTAAGGGAAAAGGGTCAAATATGCCCCTAAACTATTCAAAAAGATCTAAATATACCCTCCCTTTAAAGTTTGGTTCACTGATGCCCTTGCCATCCAACTTTTGGTCCAAATATGCCCTTATGGACGTTAGTTGCCATGTTGGACATATCGAACTCATTTTTTAATTTCCTTAAATCCCACATGGAACTGCCATGTCATTTTGACCTTACCACATAACATTTATATGAAAATAAAAAGATATTCGGATTCATAAACACCTAATCCGACCCATAAATCAACCCCTTTTAAATAAATTATCCGACCAATTTTCAAAATTTTGTTTTTTTTTATTTTTTTTGATAAATTCTGAAAATGAGTAATTGATTAATTAAAAAAAAGAAAATATGAAAAAAGTATAAAATTAATGTCAAATATTCATAAATATTTATAGTAACCTTAAATTTAATTTAAACAATTTTTTTGAAATTTTCATTTTTTCGATAAATTCCGAAGTCAGTAATTGATTAATAAAAAGTCTGAAAAAATACAAAATTAACGCAAAAAATTAAAAAATAAATACAGTAACCTTAAATTCAACAATCTCAATATGTTTTAAATTTTTATTTTTTTCAACAAATCCCAAAAATGAGTTTATTAACCAAAAATATGTCTTTACGCCTTAAATGGAGATAATATTAAACCAAAATAAAATATGCCATTTTATGGAATTTGAATTCCTCTTTCAACTTCATTGAAGTTTCCAAGAACTTTCACAAACCTTATAAAAATTGAAATTCTTTGACTAAATCACACTCATGATTTCTTACCAAAGATCATATGATAATATAAACTCCTAACAATTTTAGCTAAACAAAAGAACCGTATCTAAGTTGAAAAGAGAAATGGAAATGGAAAAACAAAAATCAAGAAGTAGAATTGTACTAGTCCCTTGTCCATTTCAAGGTCACACAAACCCAATGTTTGAATTAGCCTCACTTCTTTACTCAAAGGGCTTTTCTATCACAATTGCTCACTCCCAATTTAACTTTCCAAATCCATCAAATCATCCTTGTTTCTCTTCTAATTTTATAGCATTATTGCTAGCTCTTAATGATAACATCGCGATGCCTCTTCGAGAGATATTGTTTCATCAACAACAACAAAATGATGAGACTTTGTGCATTATTTATGATTTATTATGTATAAAGTAGCAGAGGTGGCTAACAATCTTATGCTTCCTAGTATCATTTTGGAAACTAGCAATGCTAACCTTTTTTGGATTTATGCTGCTTGAATCTGAAAGTTATTTTCCGTTAAAAGGTATCCTCAATTCACTTGTCCAGTAATAACAGAGCCAGAATTTTTTACTTTTAAACACGATTGGCTGATGCAGAACCAAATTTTATGAGGGATATTAGTAGATGATACATATAATACATGTGTTTTATTTCAAGTCATTTGAACACATTATAAAACAATTGAGACTAACACACTTCAATCAAAATCATTATAATACGAACACAATTGAAGACATTTACAATAGAAAAACCAATCAAAATCAGTCAACATTGTTAAAAAGGAACAAATTATGAGTGATTCAATGATTTGAATAAGAAAATAACGTAGTTGAGATAGCTAAGGAGAAAAACCCAACAAGTTTGGAGATCTGTTTATGACACTTTCACCTTACTTAACAAGTTTAGGACACCATGCGGACATGCTAAAACACACATTATTGACATGCTAAAACACACATTATTATAAGTAACACGCAAGTACATTATGTGTCTTTGCGATCAAAGTGACAATAGAAACTTCACCAAATCATCCAAGCACTTATAAGAAGAACCATTTTCTGCAACACTTTTCTCTATTTCCAATTTCAAATCCATAGCTCTTTGCCTAATCTCCTGTCCTTCTTCACTCACCATTAGTTTCCTCACAACTCTTTCAATTTCCCCTCTCTCTAACTCATTCTCTAACACAATCCCCACCTTCCAAACATAACTCACGTACCTCGAGTTCATCTTTTGATCCCCAAAACAAGGCCTACATATCAATGGAACCCCTTCACAAATACTCTCCAGAGTCGAATTCCATCCACAATGACTCCAAAAACCTCCGATCGCAAAATGTCCCAATACTTCCTTTTGTGGTGCCCATTCCACAATATAACCTCTTTTTTCAATAGCTTCTTTCAAATTTTTCTCATGGAATACTGATTTCGGATCACTTCCAGTAATTGAACCGGATCGAATTACCCATAAAAAATGTTGATTACTACTCACTAATCCCCAAGCTATTTCTGTTACTTCTCTCTCAGTAATTGAAGCTAAACTTCCAATGCTGACATAGAGGACGGATTTTGCAACTTGCTTATCTAGCCACATTATGCAATTTCTGTCTTCTGTTGTTAAGGAAGTACGATTAATAACATTCTTAATGGATTTGTGCATTGGACCTACTGGAAAACATGGTATCTCGTAATGTTGTTTGAGTTTTTCTAGGATTGGTTGTTCAAGACACTCTGTTGTGTTCCAAATTACGGCTGAGGATGTTCTGATGTCTGATGTAGTCTTAATCAAATGTAACAAATCATCAACATTTGGGAAATTGAAAATGGGAAGATCTTTGAACCTGAGTGGGTCAAGTCCGGGCACAAAGTCTTCGGCAATTGAGTCTGTTGAAACAGAAAAAAGAACAATGGTTAGTCCAAAAAAAGGCTAGCAATGTATGTATAAGGTTAAATTTTTTGTTATAACACATCATAATAAACTCTTCTAATGATGTGTTACAGGACAAGTGAATTAAGGATACCTTTTAACGGAAAATAACCTTCAGATTCAAGTCTGTTAAAAGCAGCATAAGTCCAAAAAAGGCTAGCACTGCTAGTTTCCAAAATGATACTAGGAAGCTTAAGATTGTTAGCCACCTCTGCTACTTTATACATAATAGAATCATAAATAATGCACAAAATCTCATCATTTTGTTGTTGTTGATGAACCAATATATCTCGAAGAGGCATCGCGATGTTATCATTAAGAGCTAGCAATAATGCTATAAAATTAGAAGAAGAGGCTTGAAATTGAGAGAGATCATGTGGTATAGGGAGAAAAGAGAAACAAGGATGATTTGATGGATTTGGAAAGTTAAATTGGGAGTGAGCAAATGTAATAGAAAAGCCCTTCAAGTAAAGAAGCGAGGCTAATTCAAACATTGGGTTTATGTGACCTTGAAATGGACAAGGGACTAGTACAATTCTACTTGATTTTTGTTTTTCCATTTCCATTTCTCTTTTCAACTTAGATATGGTTTTTTTTGTTTAGCTAAAATTGTTAGGACTTTATACTATCATATGATCTTTGGTAAGAAATCATGAGTGTGATTTAGTCAAAGAATTTTAATTTTTATAATGTTAGTGAAAGTTCTTCGGAAACTTCAATACAGTTGAAAGAGGAATTCAAATTCCATAAAATGACATATTTTATTTTGGTTTGACTTTACCAAAATAAAATCTTATTTAACACATTGATTTTCTTTGTTTTGATAAACATTAGTTATCATATTTATTTATAGTGAGAAATTGTCTATTTTCCAACACCTGTAATAGTATTTATAAGGACTAGATAACAAATTAATGGGATAATGGACTAACATACACCCTTATGAGTGGACCGATCCAATAGCTATTTGCAACACTCTTTTAGAGATTTCACTTCTTTTTTTTACAATATGAAATAAATAGTGAACTAAGAAACCTAGTAGCTAATTATACATACATTAAGATACCACACTTTTAACTATGTTTTAGTATTTACGTTTTTTTTTTCAATCAAAATGCTCTCTGACAGAGACGATTCTATACCCAAGAAATCTCAAACCAAAAATTTCTTAATTAAGAATGAAAGAGTAATTACTACTCCAACATAACTTTTGTTTGTTCATTTACTCACTTTATGGAACCTTAGATTTTTAGAGCCTGTTTGGCTCAGTTTAAAAGCTGGTCAAATTGACTTAAAAGCTGGGATAGGGCTGTTTTTTTTTTTTTAGTTTATAAGCTGTTTTAAGTTGACCACATTTTTATCTTTTTGCTTTTAATATTTTTATACAATTTCCAAATTACCCACACAACTCTAACATTTCTTTCTTCTATTTTTCTCTTTTCACGTTTGACATAATAACTTCAACACTTTTATCCAAACGCATAACTGCTTATTCTAAAAATAAGTTTCAGCACTTTTAAAAGTATTTCTTTAAAGCTGCTTTTATTAAGCCCATCCAAACGGGCCCTAAGAGCCTGTTTGGCTCAGTTTAAAAGCTGGTCAAACTGACTTAAAAGTTGATTTTTGACTTATTTAGCTGTTTGGTAATACTCAAAATAACTTATTTTAAGTTAAAAAAAACTTATTTTAAGCCAAAAGTTAAAAGCTAGGGTAGGGATGCTTTTTTTTTCGAGCTTATAAGCTGTTTTAAGTTGACCACATTTTTACCTTTTTGCTCTTAATATTTTTATACAATTTCCAAATTATCTACATAACCCTAACATCTCTATCTTCAATTTTTCCCTTTTCATGTGTGGATGATAGACAATTACTATTACTAATGAATGAAAAAATAAATCTTAAATCTTTCAAGTGATCTATTCAAATTATATATTATTAAAATGTTAAATAAGTTGCACATATAACTTAAATAAAAATTTATATTCCTCTTATAAATAATTTGTGATAATAAAGATTTATGTGAATGAAAGACATTATTATTACCTATGGATGAAACTAAAATAAAATGTTGAATCGTTCTTTAATCTATTCAAATTATATATCTTTAAAATCTATAATAAGTTTATATTCCTCTTATAAATAATTTGTGATGAGAAAGTAATATGTGAATGATAGCAAAATATAATTATTTATGGCTGTAAAATATAAATTAATTAACTTTTATTATGTTAACAACTTTTAAGGGTATTTCAGACATTTTGATTTAAAAAGCTGTTTATCAGCACTTATTTGCCAAACACATTAACAACTTTTTTTTTTAACTTCAGTACTTTTATCCAAACGCATAACTATTTTAAAAATAAGTTTCGGCACTTTCAAAAGTATTTTTTTAAGGGAAATTTTTTAAAATGTCAATATTTTAGCATTTAAGAGGACTCATTAGCAACAATTTCAATATTTAGTAAAAATGCCATTTTAGTTTGTTATGTATCTTATTTATGTTTTTATTATTTATTTTTATTTAAAGAATATAATTATTTAATAACAAAAAGGAGAAAATTAAGGGGGGAATATTTCAAAAAAAAGGCAAGCATCCTTAATTTTCTCATTAGTTACATTTTCAAATAAAATTCAAACTTTGTTTTTTTTTTCTCCAGAATTTTTATCTTTTTAAAATTATATTCATTCCACAATATATTCTATTTATATTTATTATAGTTTTTTATTAGTTTGTATTCATTCCAATAGGTATGCCGAATTTATCTATATAGTCATTTAAGAAATATATTTGTATTTTCATATATTTTTTCCCTATATAGTTATTTTTTTCTTCAAAAATCCTGTATGTATTCATTTCAATATGTATTTTATTTGTATTTCTATTTATTCTAGTTTTTATTTAGAATTTTGTATAATAATATATAAAATACAAAAAATTAGTATGATGAAAAAGTGAATGAAATATAAAATTGAAAAGAAATAATTGAATATTTGGTGTACTCATTCTTAAATAAAATACATAACTAGTTAACATACCTTTAGAATAAATACAAATTAGAAAAAAATGTCAAATTCAGTTGACATACCTTTATTAGTTTGTATTCATTCCAATATATATGTCAAATAAAATGTAGCTATTTAAAAAATATATTTGTATTCGTATATATTTTTCACTGTGTATTTATTTTTCTTTTCAAAATCTTGTTTCCTTTTCTAAGTCGTATTCATTCCAATATGTATATTATTTGTATTTATATTCGAATACAAATAAACTAATAGAAAGTTCTTCTTCTTATAAATAAAATACATAACTAGTTAACATACATTTGGATAAATACAAATTAGGGACAAATACAAGATTCATAAACCATGCAACATGAAATTTTTAGTAAATACAAATATTGATAGTATACATAGTGATTTGAATACAAATTAAGAAAGCATACCAAATTCTAAAAAATAACTATAAATACAAAACAAACTAATAGAAAATTGTTCGAAAACTATCCGATCTTCGTCGTCTTTTTCAAGATCCTCACAAGTAGACAAAGATTCTACAGCAGCGGATCATACATTATACACTATTTGTTAAGTAATAAATAAATTAAAGGATGAAAAATCACCAGAAATTGATTGATTAAGATGAATACCTCTAGTAAGCCTCTTGGATTCAGCCATTGGAGAGTAAATCATAACGGAAATTGAAAAATACAAACAACATTTTTTAAGATTTAAACAAAAATAAAATAAGAAAAAAATCTGAAAATAGGATAGAGATTAGAGATACCTTAATCAAAGGGATTCTTGTTGATTCAATTTTGGATTAAAAAAACAACCAAAATATATGGCAAAAAAATATTTGCAACTTGAATGTTGGAGGAAAATCAGAAAAGATAATCATGAGAGAGAGAAAAAATTAAATGGGAGAGAGAATTAACAATTTGAAAAGATAAATACGAGAGAAAATGATTTTTTTTTAAAAAAAAGGATATATAGAATTAATTAAAAAAGAGAGATAAAATAGGAAGAAAATTGGGACACATAAATTTTTTAAAATAATGACATTTTTGACATTATTGCTAATATTTATAAAGTATAGATATTTTTACTAAATATGTTATTTATTTTGACTAGTTTACTAATTTTTCCTTTTTTTAAAGCTGATTTTATTAAGCCCATCCACACGGGCTCTAAAACAAAACAAATAAATCAAGTTCGTTAATACTTGAAGTAAAATAATTATTATTTTTAATGATTATTATGAATTGTTTATGTAATTTTCTCCTTATTTTTTTCATTACAACATGAGATGAATTAATTGATATATAGTTGTGTTTTCCACCCTTCAAAATTTGGATATGGCTTTTTGTTTAGCTATTATTTGGACTTTATAGTTGATATATTGTCTTATTATCGTTGGCAAGAAATCATGAGTGTGACTTTTGGTCACAGAAATCTCTTTAAATTGTGTTTCGATATTATATTTCCTTCATATAATCTTAGGAAGGATCCGCAGAAAATAGCAGATTGTGGGCCGTTGTAAAGAACAAAGCTGGTTGAATTGAGCCGACTAAAACAAGCCCAATTTCGATATTTCAATTGTGTAATGGGCCTATCCAGAAACTTCTCCACATCTGCTTTTGGAATATCTAGAAATGTCTCTGTGGATAGTAGAAGTATGGAGAAACTGCTAAACACTCCTCCAATGAAGCTATAAATAACTACCGCCTCCTCTTCAATCAACCATCAAAATCGAAAGCAAGCAAGCAAAAAAACGTAGAAAATTCTCAAAAAAGTTCACTGAAAATGTCTCTGATCCCAAGAATTTTCGGCGATCGACGAAGCAGCAGCATGTTCGATCCATTTTCAATTGACGTATTTGATCCATTCAGGGAATTAGGCTTCCCAGGTACCAATTCAGGGGAGAGCTCTGCATTTGCCAACACACGAATAGACTGGAAGGAAACTCCAGAAGCTCATGTGTTCAAGGCTGATCTTCCAGGGCTTAAGAAGGAGGAAGTCAAAGTGGAAGTCGAGGAGGATAGGGTTCTTCAGATCAGCGGAGAGAGGAACGTGGAGAAGGAAGATAAGAATGACAAGTGGCATCGCGTGGAGCGAAGCAGCGGGAAATTCATGAGGAGATTTAGACTTCCGGAGAATGCAAAGATGGATCAAGTTAAGGCTTCAATGGAGAACGGAGTGCTTACTGTTACTGTTCCAAAAGAAGAGGTGAAGAAGCCTGAGGTCAAGTCCATTGAGATTTCTGGTTAAAAATACATTTGTGAATTAAGTTGATGTGTATGGTCAAATAAATAACTGAGTTGTTGTGTCTGTTGAAGGTTTGAAGTTGCTCTGTTTTTCTATCGAAAGTCTTGAGTCGGCTTTGTTTCTCGCCTAATGGCGTGTTGTACTTTTCCAAGTTTCACGTTTAATATGAAAAATTTGTCTTTTTTTTACTGTAATTTGTTATTTCATATTTACCAAACTTAAAAAAATAATAATTTAGCAAATCTGAATTTTTTTAATATATTATTAAAGTAATTTTATAAAAGCAAATTTTTAAGTAAAATAAAAAGATTGTCGACACAGATCAAAAACATAGATTTTGCTTAGTCCTCTCGATATATGCTTTTTAGACTTTGGAATTTCAACTGCTAGGCATACGAGCCACTCACTTCTATAAAAAAAATTAAATTATTTTTTGTAAATTATAGATTAAATTAGGAAAAAATGACAGAAATTTCACTTTAGATTTTCTTACTACAATTATTTCTTATTATTAGTTTTACAAATTCTCAAAATTTTCTCATTTTCGCGCATCAAGTTAATGTATAAGCGCATTAAATTAATGTATCTTGTATATCATATTAGTGTATTATGTATAAATTTACATTAAATTAGTGTATTATATATAAAATATAATATATTTTATTTAACGATTAATGTATTGACATATCAAATTAATATATTAACGTTTATATTATTATATCAGTTTAAGTAATTTTTGTAATTATAAAAAATTTATTACGAACAATGGATACATTTATAATTACAAGAAACAAAGGATAATTTTATAGGGAAAATTGTATATAATAGCAAACTAATAACCTAAAATAAATAGAGTAGATAGAGTTTGATTTAATTGTGCTCCATAGCAAACGTTAGCCAAAGTTTGTCTGGCGCCTCTCTCCAAAAAATCTCGCTCGCCACTCTCCCATTCTCGCACGCCACTCTCCCTCTGCTTGCCTCTCTCGCTTTATACACAGAAGTGTATAAATTATGTTTCTGTTTTGTATAAAGCGAGAGAAAATTGTATATACACATGCAAAAACATATATTTCCGTGTTATACACTTAATTATACAATTTAAAACATTTTTCTTCAATTCAATTGTAGACAAATGCAAATTTTATACAAATATTACAGAGAAAAAGGCCAACGAATTATACACTTGCAGTGAAATACAATTTTTTCTAGATGTATACAACAGAAGTGTATATATTGTGTTTCTATTTTTGTATAAAGCGAGAGAAAAACATATATCTTCTTGCTATACACTTATAATTATGCAATATACATATATTTTAATTCGATTCAATTGTATGCAGAATAATTTTTATAAAAATATTACAACGAAATAGGCAACAAATTATATAATTGTGCATTATACAATTGCAGTGAAATAGGATAACGAATTATCCAATTGCAGCGAAATAGGCCAGCGAATTATACAATTTAAGCCAGCAAATTAAACAACTGTATATGTATAGCGAATTATACAATTTTATATTTTCTATGAGCGTAATTATGCAAACTTCGTTATATCATACAAATATAAAATTTTTATTTGTTATACGTGAAATTTTCCCATAATTTATATCTTTTGCCAAATTAGAGTAGGGTACGTCGGCCCATGGCCTTTAACGGGCCAGAACAATGGAGTCCATTAAAACATATTTAGGTTTTTGTTGCTTCCTATAAATACACCTGAAAATTCTCTCTTCAAACATAACTCTACCTTTCTGCTCTCTGCAGCAGCAGCAGCAAGGGCTAAACATGAAAACCTTATTTATTTTTATTTTTATTTTATTCTTGGCAAATATTACTCATCTTTGATTGTAAGTTATTGAAAACTTATGGGATGTATGATTAGACATTTTGCAAACAATGCATATATATGTCTACTAGATTCATCTTTTTTTTTCTTCCTTCAAATAGTTTGTTTTTAATTCTTCATGGATGATGGTGTGTAAGAATGATGAAGAAATCATTCGGATTCCCACTGATATTTATTTGTGATTACCACAACCAGCTACTTCTGACTTCACATCCCTTTTTCAGATTTTAATTTTTATATGGATTTGGAATTTGACAATTTGAAACCTTTTTCAGATTTTAATTTTTATATGGATTTGGAATTTGATAATTTGAAACAAAAAGGGCCTGTGATGTAAGTAAATATTTGCTACTCTTGATGGAAATTTAAATTTCCATCTGATGATTCTCTATCCACCAAGATCTCTGAGGCCTTGTTCTTAAATCTTATATCTTTCTAAAATAATTTTGAAATTGTTCTGTTCTTTTATCCAGGTTGAGTCGTTAAAATGTACCAATATTATTATATTTTCCTTTTTTTGATCCTGTTTAAATTTGTCATATATCTTTCTTATTTTTCTTTTTCAGTTAAATGGATCCAAATCGTATAATGATTAGTTTTTTCTTTTTTTGATGCTTTAAAATTACATTACGCATATACACCACATAGAGGTTACATTATTTCAACTTCGCAGGCTTACAATACCAAGATTCATGTTATGGTACCATATATATTGAATTATTATATGGTATGTAGCAAATTATCAATGTTATTATTTTGGTATTATTATGATTATTTGATATATTATATTTTATTTTTTAAATACCTCGCATAATATCTCTACATGGATAATGCTTTGGTAATCTATGTTAATTTAGAGATTAGATATTCAAATAATTAATCGACTAAAAATCAAGACTAAACCAATTAATTATAAAATAACTCATTCATTTTTAAACAATTTGCTATTATTATGTTCCCCATGTATTTTTTAATTTCTTCTAAATTTTCTCTCCTAATTACTCTGAATTTCAAGTATTTCATTATTTTGCTCCCAATGTGGCTTTAAAAATTTTAGGTACCGCTAAAACAATTTTATATTAAATTTTTATCTATATGTTTTTTTCAATTTTACAAGTTATCTTTGAGTTAATTCATTATATTCAGAGTTCTTAATTATGCAATTGAATAATCATTCTTTTCGTAGGTTCTAACGTAAGATTTTGAAGAGGTTGCAGGTTTATTGGTAAAATTCAATGCAGTAGAAGTAGTTTGGGTTCAAATTGAAAAAAATAATCTAATTGGATTGAGGAAATTATTGTAAAATCGAAGCAATCTAACATCAGAATTGTGGAGTACTAGTTTTCCCCAATCTGATTGGATCATTTTCAATTTTTTTTCAATTTGGAACTGGACATGCAACCTCCCCAATTAGACCCAAGGAAAAAAACAATTTTGTTCAACAATATTTTATCCATGCTGATGTATACTTCTTGTCAATCATTTAGTCAATCTTTTAGAACATTTGATGGATGATAAATTGATATGAATAATAATTAAATTAATAGATTTAGACCAAGTTTTGGTGATTGAAAGTTATGGAGTTCAATGAAATAAAATGAATATCTTCAATTTTACTTATACAATTTCGTGTGACCCATTAATATTTAATTATTCAAAATTATAGTTACTCAAAATATATGAATGAAGCACTAGATATATTATTTATTTTAAATTAATTGTTCGGTCTGTTGTTCTTATAACATGATCTTAACCTAGTATTAGCTAAATTTTGTGGAATGTAAATAACGGGCCCTTAAAATAAGGACAGAGTACTTGTATAATTGGGCCTGTTGAAGCCCAATTTGCATAGGTCACTTGTATGATCTGTGACGTGGCCTGCGGTATTTGTCCCGAAAGTTCTCGACATCACCTTACTGAAGTATCTACTTGGCTCTAGAAATATCTCAATGATGGTAGAACGAACCTGCTAAACACTTCTATAGGAAAAGCTATAAATAACTATCCAATCCTTATCTATCAACCATCAAAACTGAAAGCAAGTAAACACAGAAAATTCTCAATAGCTCACTGAAAATGTCACTGATCCCAAGAATCTTCGGCGACCGACGAAGCACCAGCGTGTTCGATCCATTTTCAATTGACGTATTTGATCCATTCAAGGAATTAGGCTTCACAGTTTCAAATTCAGGGGAGACCTCTGCATTTGCCAACACTCGAATCGACTGGAAGGAAACTCCAGAAGCTCATGTGTTCAAGGCTGATCTTCCAGGGCTTAAGAAGGAGGAAGTCAAAGTGGAGATCGAAGAGGATCGTGTTCTTCAGATCAGCGGAGAGAGGAACGTGGAGAAAGAAGACAAGAACGATACTTGGCACCGTGTGGAACGCAGCAGCGGGAAATTCATGAGAAGATTTAGACTTCCGGAGAATGCAAAGATGGATCAAATTAAGGCGTCTATGGAGAATGGAGTGCTTACTGTTACTGTTCCGAAGGAGGAGGTGAAGAAGCCTGATGTCAAGTCCATTGAGATCTCTGGTTAAAATATGTGAATTTATTGTATCCTTGTATGGGCAAATAAAAAATAATCGTATCTGTAGTGTTTGAAGTCGTTCTGTTTCTGTATTAAAGTCTTCGAATCGGCTCTGTTTCTCACCTAATGGCGTAGTTGATGTACTTGCTGTAAAATTTCATGTTGAAAGATGTAATAGTAGTGTTGTAATATCCTCTTTTTTTCTTAGAACACTTCATAAAATGCAAATTTGATTCATCATCTTTGTCACAGTTGAGCTCGACATATATGAATCCGCCTCTGCGGCAACACAGGACTAGACAAGTCTGATCGATTATTGTATGTACAATTTTGTTTAGTCCACGAGATTTCTGTTTACCCAAAGAGGAATAAGCCAAAAACATATTGCGTGGCTGATAACGCTTCAACACAAGCAGAAGCACGGACCAACTTTACTAGCAACAATTCTATAGGGTCACCAAAGTTCACATGTGAACTTTTGGGAAGCTAAAAGCTCCTAATTTATCTTGTAATTAATAATTATTAATTATAGACACGAACTAATTTATCGGTCTAATTAATTATAGAAACATATTATAAGTCATTCCTATATTATAGCCTTTGTCATTACATTTTTTCAGGGATATAAAATTACTTTTATTAGTAACTAAACATTTTATTAATATCAAAATGGCAGTCATTATGCATTCATCTCTCTATCTAACCATAAATTTTCATTTTAAAAAAATTAGCAGCGGACGAATATTGTTGTACGCAGTAATGAGTAAATTTTTATTTTTTAAAAATTACTTGTGGACAAGTATTGTTGGACGTAATGAGGCAAAATCGTAGGTCGTGAAGTGTGAAAATTGAGTGGTAGTTTAACAAGCAGATCTTGTGAGATTCAGTGAAATCAAGTCACGCAACAATTCATTGTGCAATGCCTTTTTACTCTTCTGCTTTTCAATAATTAATATCATTATATTCTCAATCATATAGTCGTTGACCAGGTGCAGATATCTTCAATATTCTGAATGATGAGCCTTTTTAAAACTTTAGATTTATTATAATCATAAGATCAAAGATTGTAAGAAACAAGATAATTGCAGCATCAAGATTGAACTGTTCCATTTTGAAGGCCACGTGATAGTATTGCAAGTTTGCTTTTAGCATAAAGTATATACTATGCTATTTTTCTGATTTAATAGTGATTAGATAATTTACTACTGCATATAATAAATGTTGAGTTCGACATTAGTGGAGTTAGTGTCATTGGCGATCATTATATCATATGTTTTTCGGGGCAATTTTTCTGCTTTTAACTAGTTTTTGAAGTTAAGTTAGTATTTAGTATTAATTGATCCAAAATAAGACGATTATCGCCGAGATTGACTCCTATTCAAATATATTGAGGCAGAATCATTCCAATCATCATTTAGCTGATTAATCTTAATTTTTATCTTTTTTTTGGATTATTCTTTTTTATTAGAGCTCAATTATTTTAAAAAGTTCTTTCGGAGACATTCTTCGAATATCAATCTTATGCTTAAAGACCATAGCTTTAATTAGATAGTGTAGGACAATTCTGACAATAAAAGCAAAATGTTGTGTTACTTTTTACTTCACTCAAACAACTTAATCAGAACATCAACTTTTGCTTAAAGAGCAGTTTACCATTGTTTAATTCTCTATTAATTCCCACTTTTACGTCAAAACTCCTATTTTGCTTATTCATTTTCATAGCTAAGTGGAGTTGGCATTTTGGCCTTTATGAAGAGGAGTGGGGTTACAGTTTCTGTTCCCAATATTCGGCGAGGACTAAGAAATAGATTTTGAAATAATATTTTTATTTAGATTATTTCCAGATAAATATGCGTATAATAATCCAAACTGAAAACAATTAATTCCCTTGATTTCACTAACATATTTGCATCTGCCAACTATTATCCAAATAAAAGCACCACGAAAGAGCGTGGAGAAATAAATACGATCGTTTTACTTTTAGTTAGAAATTTCATACTTAATTGAAGAAATGTTTTTCCCTTAATTTCAAAAATTAGTCTTCTAATGATATGAGGATTAAGCAAGATTATATCAGCTTCTAAGGATATGCAAACTTATTACTTTGAACAAAAAATCTAATATAGAATATCAAGAATCAATAATATAATATTGGAGCAAGACACATACCTAACATGAATAGTGAACTAGGATAAATTAGTTATAATATCATAATCAGAAAAAAGTATTAAATTCAACTCAATTTCAAAAAGTTAACTACTATAATATTCTCATTATTCTAAAATAAGTTATGTTTTAGCTTAAGCACACCTTACTCGTTCTTAGATTTTTAGGGGTTTGTTTGGTACAAACATTGATAGTGCAAGGATTAGTAATGCATGAATTAGTAATGCAGAGATTAATCGTGTAGGGATTATTTTTTGTCAAGTGTTTGGTTCATTATTTTCTACTTAATTTTGTGTTTAATTTATCATTATACAAAAAAATTCTTTCCTATTACACCCTTGTGTTACTATGAGTGTTAATTTCATATAATTGAGTCAAGGTAGATAACCACCGGACCGGATAATTTTTTTAAAGAATTATTTATTCTATTTAATTAGTTAAATCAAATATATATATAATTGTTATTAATTTTAAGGTATCATGTACCTCTAAGAAGATTTTTTTGTGGGTCAAGTATATATCTTAAACTTAGCATAGATTTAAGACTACTTAAATTGTTAATACCTAAAGCTTATTTTTATTTTTATTTTTAAAACAAATAGTTCAAGTGGGTAATTGACAAATTATCATGAATATAAAAAGAATCAAGAAAAAATGGAGAAAAAAATATTAGTAACATCATTAAATTAAGAATTTGGAGAATTAAAAAAGAACATTTATAACCACTCTAGTATAAATAAAAAGAAAATTAAACTACAAAAAATTTTTTAAAAAAGAATAAAGGGTTAGTTTAATCATTTAGGAATCTTATACAAGTTTTAGCAAACCTTGTATTAGTTATTCCTCTATTTTCAAGGGATAAGATAATACAACATATGATGGATAAGCAATCCATGGATTAAATAAAATGAATTTTAATTCATGTATTATATTATCTAATATCGCCTAGGTCTTAAAGTAATAATTTTATCCCGGGTAACAAATGTGATATTTGAAGACGATTTCAAAACTTGAATAACCCATTTAGAGAATCAACTCGATATTATTAATGATTCTTGATCAAGTAAAAAAAAGTAAAATTCAAAATAATAATATTAATTATTTTATTTTAAAATAAAATAAAAATATTAAAATACTCTCTTTTGTTTAAAAATATATCACATAAAAACAATTCTTTTTCCTTTTTAGTAATAATTTAATTTCAACTGGACATGCTAGTGCTATTTAAATAACTATAATTTTTATTTATTTTTTAGAGATTCTTTTATTAAGTTAGGCTAGATTATTATTTTTGTAAACGGATAGAGTAAAACACACGAATATTGCAAAGATGTTAAATAAATAAGCAAAGAGATCAATTGAGTGAATGAATTGTGAATGTAGAAAATATTTAAATAAAAAATAAAAAGAAGAAGGTATCCCAATAAATGAGCAAGTCAGTCATTAACTATGTGTAGTCGTCGAAAGAGCGCCCCTACCCGCCCGTGACCCACCTCTTCTTCTTCCTTCCTCACCATAACAAAAAAAAGTGCAGCTCTCTTTTTCACTTTATTTCTCTGTCTGCTTCATCAATTTGGTGCTTAAATATAACATGATTTTGTCATCTCTCAGCTAATTCTCTGTTACTTGTAATTATCGGTTTCACCGCCATCGATCCACAGAACGGATTTACTGCTGCTTCTTTTTTTTTTTCTATGACTTGTTTGATTCTGCTCCGAGTTTTCGAGCGGTTGTTGAGTTAGGTATGTGCCTTGATCTCTTCTTTAATTGCTTTTCTCTGTTGGATATGACTGTTTGGTTTCCTGTCCCTTTCACTTTGTTAATTCTACTGTTCACTTTTAATTTCTGTAATTTCTCATAGATGCATCATGCATGATGAAATGTTATACAATTTGTGATTTCAGTAGTTTTAAGAATTCGTAAGAAGAACCCCATTGAGTAACAGTAAAAAATTATTTATGTGTGACTTAAAGGGTCACGGGTTCGAGCTGTAGAAGCTAGGGGTTAGTTGTCTACGTGACACTCCTTGGGTGGTGTGGCTCTTTCCTGGACCCTGCAGGATGTCGGTGGCTGCCATTTTTGCCCAACTGTTCCTTGTATGTTAATTTTTAATTTTGGCAAAGCAAACTCTACCGACAGTGTGTTCTATAATTTTCATAATTTTACTTTCTCAGAATCAACTTAAAAATTGATAAATTTTTATGCTAGAAAAATGGAGTGTTGGACGATGTGGGGTTGGTTATGTTTATGTCTTTTAACGATAATTCGAATTAAGCTTATTGTGTGTATGGATTGGGATCTTTTTTTAATAGGAAACTACAATTGTAATCTATAGATTAATTAAACTATTAATTAAAAAATATTTGTTGAAACACATTCATCAAGGAAAAAGTAAGGAATAGGACTAATGAAGCACATTCATTATTGAATCAAGCCGATTTGATAGCACTAAAATAAAGAATTTCACTTTTCAAAAGTGTGACATAACTTTTTAAGGGAAATAGGTGGAGTAGAAGTTAAAGGTATAAAGTAAATCAAGTCCTGTTTTTAAGGAATAGTGTGTTGAGCTTTCTGATTCTGCTTGGTTGTCAGGGTCATGTATTCATAATTAGCCAAGTGAGAATAAGGGAGCTGAAGGCACCAAGGGTGTGGCCGAGTGATTATGTAGCTGCCTAATTCTTGTCTCTTGGGTGGTCAGAGTTATCTGGTAGTTGTGTTGGTGGTAGGTAAAAGGTACCTCTCGAAATAGTTGAGGTGTGTACAAGCTGATGCGGCTACCACCGTTACTTAGAAAATGAATATGGCACAAAATGATGCAAGCAAGGAATCTAATATTTCCTTGTCTGCAGATATAAGAGACAACCCATGTTGAGAGATACAAACAACAAACTTTTTGAGTTGTTGTAGTTCATAAAATAACTTTTATGCTTATCTCTTTCAGCTTTTTTATCTTTGTAATGAGACTATGAGAGCAACCATGAATCCTATGTTCATTGTATAACACCTAATTCATAGCTACTGACATCTAATTATGTAATTCTTGTTACTGAAACGATTCCGTGAAGGGGAACACTGCATCTTTA